ATCTATTTGTTAGCACATTTTTGAAAAAAATACGCTATTATATTCGTTATGGCTGGCTGGCTGGCTGGCTGGCTACCCGGCTGAGATCTCAGCAATTACAATTGCTAGAGACTTTACATTTTCACTAAAAGCTTTCTGTTATAGTGTAGATGTGTACCTAGGCCCTAGTCTATTTTGAGTTAGATTACTCGTGAGATCGATAATTTTAAACTATGCTAATGAAATACTGATCTACATTCCCAAAATTGCGCTTTCATCATGCATATGCTGACTTACAACTTGTTTTAATTCACAGATTTCACAATCCATGCACCCATAGGGACATTGGAAATGATAACTGTATAACGCCATATATGTAAAACACAAATAACTTTTATTCACTCGGAACACTTGCTGCACTCGCTCACTAGCTCGCTCGTGTCTTAAACGTGACTTCTGAATAATCAGCGTCGTGTAATACCATCAAAGGAGATGCGCGAGAATTTTAGATTGGAATCAAAACAATTGGGCCTTATTAGTACCGCATAGACAGTATCCGCGACTTTTGCTGAACCTACCGATCACGGCTGTGTACGGTAAAATCGTCACTTGATGCGACACCATTGTCTTTTGACCTTGAACAAAACTTGTAACTTTGTAGCCGTATACGAAAAAAATAAACATTTCCAATGTTAATATTTGTATTATCGTAGTAGATGGAAATAATATCTTGAAGTACCGACGTCGTAAATATTTTCGCATTTCCAAAATGAGCAGATACTTATTGTTTTTGTACTCACATTACAAGGGCTGTTATTCATTAAAAAAAATTGTTCTATTCTTGGGTCTAACCAATGAACTCCGATAATCCAACTTTTTAACGCATTTTTTTAAGAACTAAAAAAATGTGCTATTGTTTGCGGTTTGTCCGTCCGTCCGGACCCACTTCTGCCGTTTTGAACTACCTCTAGGGGAATAGTCCTAGAGTCCTGGAATTTTTTGCTTGAAGGTGTGCCAGACGGCCATCAAATTTCTCTGTCTTAAAGGGAATTGTTTTCTGAGAAGCTGTTTTTGAAAGTAAAACGTGCATAACTTTTACATACGACAACCAATTGGTGTCAGATTTTGCATATGCATGCCTTCAATGGTGCCAAGTTAAACTTTTAAAAATGGGGGGGGGGGGGGGTAACACACGTTCTACCCTTCGTGGTATTCTAATGGAACTCATAGAAATAAATTGGTTTCTGCAAACTATAACTTTCCCGGGCGACTCTTTTTCGAGACCAGTGGGTGACGACGCCCGGGGGGATGGGGTCTCATTAGTCTCAACGAAAGGAATTATTTTCTACCAACCACAGTCCTCCTCCTCGACCACTTATCGTGATCGGATATATTCCCTTGTATCTCCAGAACGGATTGTCGGAAGAGAGTACTCACACAGGGTGATTGGGACGTCTGGAAGAAATATATCCATTGGTGATGTCAAAACTTTAAGTGCGAATTACTCGAAAACGGTTTGTCGGAGGAAAGTACTCTTAGGCAGATGATTTTGAATGTATGCCCGGCGGTCTTTAAATGTTTATGTGTAAAGAGCCTCCTCCCTGTATCACTCAACTATCTGCACAAGAGTTGTGGACAATTTATACTTCATCATTGCAAAGACTATGAACTATCGACAATTTGTTAAACTATCAAGCAGCATTTCATAAGAACATTTGGCTGTTTTTTCATACTATAGAAGAGCCTTAATATACTGTTATGTATGCAGTTTGTAGTGTAGTCATTATTCAGCGTTTAGAATAGAATTAAATAACACTAATAACATTTTTATATTTGATTAAATGACATTCAAATTATCACCATGAAAACTAAAAAACAACTGTTCCAGATCCACCCATGGATCGCCACAGTACTCCCCCGCCAGTGCATGCTAATGCACGATTTAACGTCACGTCAGCGATTTGTTCGTTGGTTTGACAATTCTTCCCGCGTTTGTGATCATTGGGGTATCTGCGAATCTCACCTTAGGTTTATCTGGCACTTCGATGAAACTATGCGGTGTCGGGTCAGAATGTGAGGAAGTTTGAGTGTAATCATTACTCTCGCAAAAGTATGGTTTTAGTCGGTTGATGGAAACATGTCTGAGTTTGCCTTTAACTTCCATAGTGAAATATTTATCATTTCGATCTCGCACTTCATAGGGGCCTTCGTATGGCGCTTGTAATGGAGATCGTACGTAGTCTTTCCTTACCAGTACGTGTGAGCAGCTAGACAACTCTCGAAACACAAAGATGTTGGATTGTCTGGCGTGGTTGGTCGCAGAAATGGGTTGCATTTCATTGAAATGTTTGCGTAATTGTACCACAAACTCTGATTGTACTGATTGAGAGCTCTGGTCGCAGGTTACGAAGCAACTTGGTAAATTTATAGTTGTTCCATATACTAGTTCTGCCGACGTTGAATTGAAGTCCTCGCGGAATGCCGTGCGTAGTCCTAACAAGACAATCGGAAGTATCCGTGTCCAGTTCTGCTGGTTGTGACATGTGATTGCGATCTTCAAAGTCCTATGCCATCTCTCGATGAGACCGTTGGCTTGCGGGTTGTATGCAGTTGTGCGTTGTCGTTTAAATCCTATTAATTTACCGAGTACAGAAAATAAGGCCGATTCAAATTGGCGACCTTGGTCGGTGACAACAGTAGTTGGTGTCCCGAATCGTGTTATCCAATTGTCAAATATGGCACGAGCTACTGTTTCTGCTCGGATGTCTGCAACGGGTACTAGGAATTGATAATTGTTCCACTCGCGAAAGTGTGTCCGCTACCACGTTATCTTTACCCGAAATATGTTGGATATCTGTGGTGAATTGGAACATTAAATCGAGGTGTCTCTGTTGTCTTGGGGATGCCTTCTCCGGTTTTTGTCGGTAGGCATATGTGAGCGGCTTGTGATCCGTAAATAATGTGAACGGACGGCCTTCTATTATGGGTCGAAAGTGTTTAATGCTTGAATACGCTGCCAATAATTCCCTGTCGTATGCGCTGTATCGACGTTGCGTGTCGGTAAGTTTTGCGGAAAAAAAACTGAGGGGCTGCCAATGGCCTCGTACTGCCTGCTGGACGACTGCACCAATCGCTATGTCCGATGCGTCTACCATTACTGCTAGTTTAGCTTCGGGCATTGGGTGAGCCAAAACTGTTGCTTCTGCTAGTTGTCGTTTGGTCTCTTCGAATGCTGTGCGACAGCTGGTGGACCATTCTATCTTAGTTTTGTCGTTTTTTGTAGAACCTTTCAAAAGATCAGTGAGTGGTGCTTGGTTTCGAGCAGCGTGCGGTAAAAACTTTCTATAAAAGTTCAGCATACCTAGGAATCTTCTTAGGTCCTTAACGGTTTGTGGTGGTTTATAATCTACGATGGCTTGTACACGTCCCTGTGCCGGTCCAATTCCATTCTCATTAACAGAATGTCCGAGAAACGTAACTTCGGGTTGCCCAAATACGCACTTTCCTGTGTTGATGACAAGGCCATACTGTTGAAGACGTTGGAAAACTTGTTCCATGTGTTTCAGATGTTCTACTTCGTTTGTAGAAGCGATTAAAATGTCGTCAATGTAAGAAAAACAAAAATCTAATCCGCGTAAAACCGAGTGTGTAAACCGTTGGAATGTTTGTGCTGCATTTCGCAAACCGAATGTCATGCGAGTAAATTCAAACAACCCGAACGGTGTTGATATGGCGGGTTTGGGGACATCGCTTGGTTCAACTGGTATTTGATGATACGCTCTCACTAAATCCAGTGTGGAGAAGATCTTGCATCCATTCAGATTGTGTGTAAAATCACTTAGGAGTGGTATGGGGTACCTATCGGGGACTGTGACCGCATTTAGACCACGGTAATCTCCACAGGGTCTCCACTGGCCGTTAGTTTTCTTAACTAATTGAAGTGGACTGGCCCATTCGCTATCCGATGGCCGGCAAATTCCTTGGGACATCATGAACTCGAATTGATCCTTAGCGATTTTCAGTTTTTCCGTAGAAAGTCTTCTTGTTTTTGATGTTACTGGTGCACCTTTAGTTTCAATAACATGTGTAACGTTATGCTTCACAGTGTCGGGCGAAAATATTTTCTCCACTGTTATATCTTTGAACTTACGTAGTAATGTTACGATGCTGTGGTTGCCTATGTTATCTGAGATAGGAGTGAGAGACAATGGTGTATTGATTTTAGATATTTGTGCGAGTGAATGAATTGAACTTAACGGATCGATGATGCGTCGTCGTTTTACATCTACTATTAATCCATAATAATGTATAAAATCTGCACCAATTATGGGTTTCTTCCTTAGACCATATAGTACATGGACTGCTATTAGCCCTATGCTTTCAATACAAAATGGGTGGTCACGGATAGAGGGCACTGTAGTCGTGGGTATGTGAATCTCAAGGTAAACTCCACCACTCGGATCGCGTAAAGAGTAGCTTTTATTGTAACCGCGTAGTACGGGAAGCTTTAAATATTCTTGATTATGTTCTATACGTCCACAAATAAGAACAGGTTTGCTTTTTTTGCCATATCTAGGCGATTAATTAATTGACGTTTGTTAATTTATAGGTTGACAGTCTCAAATCGTGCCTAATCGGACAACTTCGGACAGACTCGTTTACCCTGAAACTCACATACCCAGGCGATGTCCTTGACTATATTTTAGTTACATTTAGCAGTTCATGTACTATATGGTCTAAGGTTTCTTCACATCCGCGATAATAAATTTCCAGTTGAAATTTCGACGTAGGCCTAGTTCTAGACGTATACCTAGTACGTGTGCCATATGTGTGGATTGTTGAATGATTCGCTGCGTATAATGGCGAGCCGCGGTTGCACTCATTTTTTTCTTTGACATTGGCAGGTATTACGGAAACGTCAGCACCGGTGTCAATTAAATAATGGTTTCTCGTTATCCGGTCGTAAATGAATAAGCGGTGAGTGAAGGGACCGTCGCATACCGCTATTTGGGACGGACCTGTTAGTTTTCCGCAGTTGTTTCAAATGCACATGGTTTTGTGCATTTCTTTGCCCTTTCTGCTAAACGGCGGTGGTAATAACACAATCCCTCCGGTGGTGGAGTAGCATTAGATCGTTCCCTCGTTCTGCTTTTCGATCTGTTTCGCGGAATGGAGTTCTTGTGTCCACGAAGTTTGTTCAGCTCACGAAAAATATCGCGTTTGAATTCTTCTAATTTCTTATCTAAATCGGTTTCATGATGGGTATTCATGCGTGATGAATTTGATTGCACTTCACGTGTGGCGACTTCTGTTACTACCGAGTTAGAATATGTTTCAACAATTTTATCGGTCATGACGGCCAAATTGTCTAACGATTCAGAGCTAATTGTTAAAACTACTTGTACTTGTTGGGGAAGTCGCTGTAGCCACAGTTTCTTTAGCAACTCATTGGAGATGCTGGTACCAGATAGCGTCTTCATTTCTCTGAGTAACTGAGTTGGTTTACGATCGCCCAAGTCAAGATCGCGTAACAGTTTTTGTAACTTCGCATCTTCCGATTCCGTGAGGCGGGATATAAGTGCATTTCGAAGTGTATCAAATTTATGGTTTTCTGGTGGTGATGTGATAATGTCGCTTACCAGTTTTAGTGCTTTTTGACTTAATGCAGCTACGACTGTAAAGTATTTTGTGGTATCTGCAGTTATGCGCGATAGCTCGAACTGGGCTTCTACCACTTTGAACCACAAGGCTGGATCTTCCTCCCAAAATACGGGTGGTTTGACTGTAATTTTCTCGATAGCTGTGCTCGTAACAGAAGTCGATGTACTTGGCGGTAAGATTGGAGTATTCGTTTCGGACGCATCATTGTTATTTGCCATTTTAAACGTAAAAATGCAAACGTTTTACTGTTTGATTTATATGACGTTTATGGAGATATAACTGTATGCCTGTTCCTGTCAGTAGATAATAACTGTTATTTTCCTTGTTTCTTAATGACGGTGTGTTGTTTATCGAGGGTCACCAATGTAGTGTAGTCATTATTCAGCGTTTAGAATAGAATTAAATAACACTAATAACATTTTTATATTTGATTAAATGACATTCAAATTATCACCATGAAAACTAAAAAACAACTGTTCCAGATCCACCCATGGATCGCCACAAGTTCATAATAAAGCTAGTCAGTAAGTTCCAGTTTGTACAACAGCAATTTCTAAAGTTTTACCGGGAATAGCTCTATTTCATCATACTCGTACGCAGAATTTAAGGAAACTGTGTTTCATAGTTTGGTTACAAAATTTACAAAAAAATCGCAAATATGAAGCAAATAGGTCGGTATAATAATCATACTAATGAATTTATGCGAACGAAAAGCGTAATTGGCACTAATATTTGGTCAGAAATGAAAATATGGATAGGTATAATAAATATTATCCAGCTACTGAAAGTCACTTCTATACATAAAATTTTAAAGATAATATTATTTCTGCGTATATTCAGGCTTAATTTAATCAATTTTAATCCCAAAACCCTCCACAATTTTATAGTAGAATTAAATTACTGAATAATAACAATACGCAAAGTTCACAATTTACAATTACTGAAGTTGAATATCGGGTAAATTGGAAATTAGGAGATTTTTCTACTTGATAACGTACCTAAATTTAAACTCGGCAAAGGCAGAGGGCAAAGAAAATTGGGGAAGCGTATACGGAATATTTCAATAATGTGGATAAAGAAATCTGGTCGGAATCTGTAATGAGCTGTACAAAGCTGGAAGGGAAGATACATACCAAAGTTTTATAATTTTCGCAATCCTTCAAGCGAGAGGTAATAAGAATTTGCATTGAATTGCAATTTGCGTTTTAAAACTTTAATAATCCGCAATCACGTTTTTATATCGAGCATGATTTTGACGCCGCTGCTTTCAGTTTTAATATTTCATTTCTCATTCCATCTAATATTTGTCGAGCACGCTCGAAATTCATATACAAGCACTCATTATATTACAAGTGTACTATTTGAAAATTTTGCACGAAAGGAAAAAGCTCTTCACTGCTTGTTATCGTGCATGTTTGGAATAGTAATTCGAGTAGCAATAGAGTTCTCGTCCGAGTATTATTCCTGTTGCATAATTAATGTGTGCCATTATTCACCAGTCACATAAGAACGGCAGATAAAACAAAGCTTTTGGAAAGTTATTTAAGTAGATGGTTATATTATATTGAAGTATGCTGTGAGAAACGTGATCAAACACAACAAAGTAAAGCTGAACTTACTTCTTCGCAGAAACCTTGAAAGAACTAAATTAGCTACATTCATTCAAAAATTTATCAAACTAGCTTCAGGCCCCTTCAGTAAAGCACTATAGTGCTGGCGGTACACGACGATTTCCATGGGAATGGTGCATTTAATGATGCAAGCATACCACTTTGCGTAATTATAGTATGGACCTTCAAAAATTATTTAACCCGTAGTTCCTGAAATGTCATCCCTTAGGATTGGAATTTGAGGGCGGGGGTTCAAGTTTCATGTGAAAAATGTTGAAAACTTTAAATTTAGTCACCAAGGCCTGTTGTAGTCACCGCCGCAAGATTCTAACCTGTTGAATGAACGCAATGCAATGGTCAGAATTTCCGAACAACCACCGGAAGTCATATTAGACCCCCATTTTTAAAAATGGCCGCCAAAAAGTGACACTTAAGTGCTGAGCCCAAATGTGGGAGTGTTGGGTATCATTTCAAATGTTTTTGAGGTCTCTGAATACGTCTGTTACTGTTACTGTTACCGATGTTCTGGTCCTGGTGGTTTCGTTCTTCTTCGAACTGAAAGAGAAGGGGCTCAAAGAACTATGTGTTCTCTTTGGATCTGGACTCCATCGTCGCTACATCAGTGTGCATGGCATTGCTCAGTGTCTCGGAAAGGCGAAATCAGTCGCATTGAGAGGTTTCCATGCGTACACCGGATGCGATACGGTGTCTTTCGTTGGATCCAAAGGGAAGCGTTCAGCGTGGGCTGCGTGGCAGGACGAACTGGCCACAGGTGCATTGGCAGTCTTGCTTGGTCACTGGATGAAGGACCTGACGCTGAGATGATGCAAGGTTGGGAAAGATTTACTGTATCTTTGTACGGTGAGCGGGATGGCTCATGTACTAGTGTTGATCAGGCGCGGACCTTTTTGCTACACAGCATAACCACGTAGGCGCTATCCCTCCAACTCGTGGTGCCCTGGTGTAACACGTCAAACGGTCTGCGTACCAGGCAGGCCACATCTGGGACAGAGCGGCAGAATTGACACCCGAAAGTCTCCCAACAACAGCAATGTGGGGCTGGACTAAGGAAAAGGACCAGTGGAAACCGCTCTGGACACTTCACTCCGAAATCTGGAGTTCTTGCTGAGATCTTCTGCACAACGGGCTGCGAGACGCAGCGATGCTGTTGCCGCCGGTACCAACTGCCGTGTACCTTGTTCGCGTGCAGAAAGTGCAAAGGGCAATGTGCTAACCAGACAGAAATTGACCCCGACCAAGATATTGAGGATATGTCGATATGATTAGCACCGACATGCACATTGCACATGTCCACAAATAGAAGTTAATTTACATTAAAATCAATACATATCTACCTTAATAATATGTTATCATTAATTCAAAAACTTGAAACTTGCCTAGCCACATCCTATTTTCATAAAACTTGCCATCCATTGCCTATTCGATATCTCCCTATATCGCGGCCGAAAGGCCATATGGTGTGTTTATTCGTATTTTTGTGGTAACAGACGTATTCAGAGACCTCAAAAACATTTGAAATGATACCCAACACTCCAACATTTGGGCTCACTATTAAGTGTCACTTTTTGGCGGCCATTTTTAAAAATGGGGGTCTAACATGACTTCCGGTGATTGTTCGGAAATTCTGACCATTGCATTGCGTTCGTTCAACAGGTTAGAATCTTGTGGCGGTGACTACAAACAGGTTTTGGTGGATAAATTTACATTTTTCACATGAAACTTGAACTCCCGTCCTCAAATTCCAATCCTAAGGGATGAAATTTCAGGAACTACGGGCCAAATCATTTTTTAAGATCCATACTACAATTATGCAAAGCGGTATGCTTGCATCATTAAATGTACTATTTTTTTGTGTACCGGGGGCACTACTACCATGCTACCTCATAACTAATAGCTATAAGCTGAGAAAGGGCGGAGATTAAAGGGAGGAAATCTTTTTACAATTTGTATTATTTTTGTGCAGGTTACAGTTATTTTGGTATGTCGTAAAAGTAAAATTTACGTTACGGTTCCTCAATTTACATTATTGATTTAATTAACGTTCGTAAACGGTATAGAATATAGATATAAATAGCGATGTCTTATTAAAATATTGTTATTATATTTGGTAACTAAATCAATATTTAGTAAAGCAGCTGCATAATATCATCAAACTGAATAGTACCTACCGTTGAGTTAAGTTACATAGGTAGAAACATATACAGGGCGTACCAAATGTAAGATACGGACTTATGCAATGTAATAAATGGACTTGTTACATAGGCCTTCAGGTTCCCCCGGTCCGAGATGTCAGCCTTGCGGAGCCTAGGAAGGGAGTCTTCTTGCACTAACTTTAGGTATGCAGCCTCCCACAATTGTGACTTAATTGAGCCAGCCTGGCCTTCTTCCTCCTCTTCTGTTCAGCGCCGGAAATGTGCTTACGTGATTTGAGGCTTGGTACCTAACCTGCAACAAATTTTGAGGGTTGTCCTGGGACGCTCCCTCTAGATTGTTTTTGTGTTTCATCGATCAAAACCAAAAACTGGAACCAAGCGATTCTTACGATGCTCTATGATCTCATCGTGAATAATCCTGTTTAGCTGCTTTGGTCACGTAAAACCCATTGAGATTGTATTTCCGCCAGTCAAACTGGCAATGGTAACTTTCCGAGCGATTAACCTATCGTAACGCTTCCGGAAACCATTAATCCGTAAAATATAGATCGTCAAATTCATTTGGAAACTATTGACATTAAGCTTGCTTTGAAGATAACAAAATTTTGGGATAACAAGCAACCCTAAATAAAATTCAAAAAAATTAAATTTCTTCCTACGCGGTAAATCGTTTTCGATAGTTTACGTATGTGCTGTTTGTAATCGCGTCGGCAAGAGGGATAGAATAAAGCTAAAACTTACTCAAGAATGGTATCGCCAAACGGATGTATCCACTCACCTAAAAGATATTTGACTAATCTGCTTACGCATGAGTGAGGAATAGGGCCACTAGGCAGAAGAAGTTAAGATAAATTTGTTCAGTAAACAATATTTGAAGAAGCCTTCGATTATGTCTCGACGGTATATACTGCAATCGTTTTACATAAAGTGTCTTTAATTTACCATTTCTATTGTAATCAAATTTGCATTAGACACAATGCCGTAATCCAGTAAACTAAGGGATAGTAAACACAATGGAAAAGGAACTAACTGCTTGCATTCCTACATGATTTAGTTATTGAACTTTAGCTGCATTCGACATCAATTTTGTTTAGATTTGGAGGGCAGTCCTGAGCCTTTTCCTTTATAAGTACGTAAACTGTTACTATGTATGTAAATTTCTGGGGATGCGAAGTGTAGGTTTCATTTTTCCCCTTTGTGGTAAAACGATAAATATTCACCCATATTCCCTACGTTTTAACTATCTACATAAATAATTGAACGAGTAATTCAAACTTCCTAACTTTGAATAAAATCTAATTAAAATCAAATTCTAATTTGGAAGGTAGTTACATTTAATGTAATATCAGGCAAAGAGGAAACAAGCCCCTACATTTCCACTTTAAAATGATTTGCTAATTTTGAATTTGATTTTTGTGAAATTGAATAGAACTG